TTGACCTGAAACTGTTATTAACCTGAGGTACCACTTTAGCTAATGTGGCCTCCCACCCCCGCCACTCGAATTCTGTTCTTATCCTGAAGCAAAGTTCTTAACCTGAGGTACTATTTCTGGGTTTGCGGAGTCTGTAAACTGAATCGTCTGTAACCTGAAGTGTCTGTAACCTGAGGTACTACTGTAGTGTAAACGATACTGAGCCAGGTAGCCTGACCTGGGATAAGGCCACTTCCTCCATCCCTGTGAGCGGGAGAGGATGGGTGGTCAGGCTCTGGGCCTAGCCATCTCTCATTTGAGAAGCCAGCCGCTGAAGAAGTATTTTGAACTTGGAGCTTTATTCAAAGTTTTGGTGTTAGATATTGCACCACCGCCTCCCTTATCTGTGAAACAAATGCCACCACAGATGACGGGAGGAGGAGCACGGTGGGGGAGACTTATAGGCCAGGCCGGCTTCTGTTTAATTGGAAGCTCCCTGGCTCTAATTGAGTGCCAGGCTGTCTTTCTGAGGCCATGACTCATCCCACTGCATCCCTTCATCTCCTGTCCGCCTTCTTCCCTTTATTATGACACCTTCCTGGTGAGCCAGCATCCCCCAGCATGGAAATAACTCATCCTAATGAGAGTGAAGTGCATGTTGCCTAGCAACCAGGCTTCGCTGGGGCCTATAATGCGCCGAGCGGGCAAAAAGGCACTTAAGTTAATGGTTGCCGTTGCCTTGAAATTTGTCACTGCTCTGTGGTGCTGGGCCTTAAAAAAAAAATAAAAATTAAGTAGTTTTGTGGGGATATAACACACCCTCCAATTCAAGAGCGAACAATGAGGTGGGAGATAATTGGTACTGCGAAGACCCAGCCCCATCTTTATTATCTGGTGACATTCACACCTTACATTTAAAGCACAGTGCTTTATCCTGGGAACTTTAGTTCGCCCCTCACAGAGCTTGAATACATCCCTGGCACCCTTAACAAGCTACAGTTTCCAGGATTATTTTTGGGGGGGGGGGGCAGGACCATATGCTTTAAATGTTTGGTGCGAGTTTGACCCCAGACGCAAAGCATGTTTTTGTTCTGCACTGCAAATTAAACTAGCTCAAAAGCACTTCCCTCTCTGCAGGGAACTATAGTTTTGGGGTTTCTTCTGACAGGATTGTCTGCACGCGTGTCAAAACTGCAGCACTCAGAATCCTTTGGGAAAGCCGCCATTAATCCATGCAAATTAATAGGCAATTAATGTGGCTCAAATTATGACTCTAGTTCTTTATTTAAAATCTTACGTTTACATCCTCCCAGACCAGCCTTACAGGCCTTCGGACCAGACCCCTATTTTGAGGCTGATTTTCCAAGTCATCTCAAGGCAGATTCCATACAACACCACAGAACAAAATTTCCGCAAGATTGTGCGAGTTAAAACCTCCATCACAGCTCTACCAACGTTTCAACCAGGTCAACAGCAATACCTACAAATGCCTAAATGCCTTTTTAAGCAAAGACCTCTGAAAGTGGAACAGATTGTCTTGGATGTTGGTAGACTCACCCTCTGCTGTAGCAAGGAAAGTGAGGACTTGTAAGAATATAAGAGCCCGGCTGCTGGATCAGGCCAAAGGCCCATCCAGCCCAGCCTCTGTTGTCACAGTGGCCAAGCAGATAGAATCATGGGGGCTAGAACACTTGCCGGAGAAAAAGGTGACCAATTAATAACAACCACAGAATTGTCAAGTTGGAAGGGACCCTGAGGGGCATCTCGTTCAACCCCCTGCAATGCAGGAATATGTGCAGCTGCCCCATTTGGGGATCTAACCTGCAACCTTGGCATTATCAGCACCACACTCTAACCAACTGAGCTATCCGGGCTCTTGATGTCTTTGGGTTGCCCAGAACATCACTCTCCCCACTTTTGATTCCCAGTAACTGGTATTCATAGGTGCTACTGCCTGAAACAGAGAGGCAGTGCATGTCCCTTGTGGCTGGTAGCCATTGATTGCCATGAACCTGTCTAAAATCCATTCAATGCCATCCTAGTCGGTGGCCATCATTTCAATGGATGCCCCCCAAATTCTAGTGTTATGAGAGAGGGAGGAAAACATCTCCCTACTCACAACTCATCATGCGGTATAAACTGTTCTTGGACTGTAGGTGAGGGACCACCCGACTGAATGCTCTTTGGTAACAACCTCATTAGGAAGAAGCAAGCGTCAAACATGTCAGACAGAGAGAAGAAAGGGGGCAGGCTTGCTGGCACCTCAATGCTTGCAATGCTGGAGAGGTGCGGTGGGGGTTGAAAAAGAATGCAATGGAGGAAACACACAGAGGAGGAGATTGGAGCAGAGACGGTGAGGACTAGAAGCTTGAAGTTGATTGTGAAAGTATGGCAGAGAGCCAACATTGGGAAAGGGAGAGAGTGGTGGTGGTGGTGGTGGTGGTGGTGGGGATGATCAGTAGTGACTGGAGAAAACTGCTGAAAGTGGAGGTCCAAGCTGAAATCTTTGATGTGGAGAAGGACCAAAGATTCAATATTACAAAGCTGAGGCTTAAAGAAAGCAGGCCGCCATCCAGAAAACACACAGTCAGAATCTCCTGCCAAATGCCCGGCTGTCATCTGTCCTTGCTTTCATGTCATATCAATAAATGTCATGCCAGCATGCACACTCACATACACAGAGAGAGACACACTTTCTCTACTCCAGGCGATCTCCGCTTTTCCCTTTTCCATACTGATTTGAATTTATATATCCAAGGGTGCCTAGCCTAGCAATGAAAGCTTTTATTATTCTTATTCAAAAAGAGCCACCGGACAATGGTTTCCTTGGGAACCCTGAATGCCCCCTACAAAGAGGCACCAAATTCCCAAAGAGGCGAGCAAGTGGCTCCTTCCCACTGTTGGGATGGAGATGGTTTTGGTGCCTGCCCTGCCTTCAAAATACAGCTACTTTCAAACTGGCCAGTGATAGCAGGAAACGAAACCAAAGAACAGAGACACAAATCGCCTGCAATGGGGAAATTTAAAAGGTTCACCATTCTGTATTTCAAATGCAGGCGGTGGGGAACCAGAACTCTTTGCCAATGCATTGCTAGGGTCAAACAAAATAAACAAAGCAATCAAGTAAGTCCTGGAGCGACTGATGCTTTTTTGTGGGTTGGAGTGCTCAAATATTTTTTGGGGGGGGGTGCCTCTTATCACTTAGCTACCTGCCATTTTGATGTTTGTTTGTTCTTTGTTTGTTTTTTAAGGAAATCACATAGTGTTTGTTTGTTTGTTTGTTTTTCTAATTGAAATAAACAGAAAAAAGGCTTTAAATCAACAAAGCGCCTTAGTACAACTATATACCATTTTTAGAAGGCCATTGGGGTTAGCGGGTGGGGTGAGAGATGTCATTTGGTTAAGTCTAGGGACAGAATAGGGGAAATTGTGGATTTCCTCAAAGGCCTCCCTTGGGGTCTCAAATTTCAGTGGCATCTTGAACTATGTGAAAATCTGGTCCGTCCACCCCCCATTCCAAATCATAGTCGTAGAACATTGGAAGCCTCCTTTCAAAGAGACAGACTGTGGGTCCATCTACCTCAAGGGTCAGCAAACTTTTTCAGCAGGGGGCTGGTCCACTGTCCCTCAGACAGTGGGGGCCAAACTATATTGGGGGGGAATGAACGAATTCCTATGCCCCACAAATAACCCAGAGATGCATTTTAAATAAAAGGACACATTCTGCTCATGTAAAAACACCAGGCAGGCCCCACAAATAACCCAGAGATGCATTTTAAATGAAAGAATACATTCTACTCATGTAAAAACACACTAATTCCCGGACCATCCGTGGGCCGGATTTAGAAGGCGATTGGGCGGGATCCGGCCCCCGGGCCTTAGTTTGCCTACCCATGATCTACCTCAGTATTTTCTATGCTAACCAACAGGGGCTTTCCAAGATTTCAGACAGGGAGACTCTCCCAGCCGTACCAGGAAATGCCGGGGATTGAACCTGGGACCTTGTGCATGCAAGGCAAATGCCCTACCACTGAGCTATGGCCCCTTCATTGAAAGGGAACTTGAGCACAATTAGAACATTGGTAGAGTGGTGTCCTATGCAGAACTGGTATCTATGAACTGTCATGAGCTTTAGTGTTAATTCTTTCCTTGAGGAGCTCATAGACCCTTTTAATTCAACTTTAAAAGACAGGAACAGCAATGCTGGGTTAATTCACACCTCCCTTACTTTAAACTGCTGCACCAGGATCAAGTAGCTATTAAGTTCTTAGAGAATCTGCTTTGCATATGGAAGTTCCCAGGTTCAACACACAGAAACACACCCCATACCTCCAGGTAAGGCTGGGACAGAACGCCAGAGAACTGCTGCCAATCAGTGTGGACAATACTGAGCTAGATGGACCAGTGCTCTGACTCGGTGCAAAGCAGCTTCCTATGTTTCACTGCATTGTGGTCATTTAGACTCACCAATACCTTTCCACATGCTTCAGTCTGCTAATTGGTATAAGTGTTAACGGCGTAATTGCCTTGTGGGTGAAACCCTTGCCTTAAAACATCACCACATGAAGGAGTGGATAAACTCCGGAACTACTGACCCTTTGAAAAATGCATGAACTAGCTAGTGTAAGAAGGTGAAGAGGCAGCAGCTTCTGAAGTCTCTCTCTCCCTCTCTTCCCATTCCTCGTGGCATCTACCAGAATCCTAAACATTGGATGTGGCAGGTCAGCTCATCAACTGCATATGTGAAGTCATCCGTGCATGAAGAGAAAGCAGCCGATCACATTCAATAAGGATTATGGCTGGGGGTTTTTCCTCTTTTTTTCCTGTTGCATGAAGCATAAGGACAAGCTAAGAGGAGAGAGGGGCAATCTGTAGTCTTTAGGTCTTCTGGAGGCCAGTTGCGGAGCGCATACTGGATCCCTCCATTCTGTATAGCTCTCTCCCCCCCTCTCTCTCATGGAATCATAGAACTGTAGAGTCGGAAGGGTCCCTGAGGATTATCTAGTGCAATGCAGGAATTATGCAGCAGTCCCATAAAGGGATTGAACCCGCAACCTTGGCATTATAAGCACCACAGTCTAACCAACTGAGCAATCCCTTGCAGGCACAACTTATAAAACTGACAGGATCATGGACTATAACATTTCAGGATACAGGTGGGAGATGCAAAATTTCATCAGGCATTGCCCTTGGGCATTCACAGTTACCTTTATATCCATAAGGACTAGCACCTTGAGTTTTGTTTTTAAGGAGAGCTGAGATTCTCGGGGTACTGAAAATTGGACCGAGTGCTAAATTTTGTGTTTGAACAGTGCGATCCTGAGATTGAGAAATATCACAATCCTTCTCTGACATGCGATCTGTCACACATTGATCTTGCTGCTGCATCTACACTGAAAACATCTGCCATTATTTGATTGAAGCTACATACCTTCTACCCTGAACTATCCAACTGAGTTGTTCTTATTCTGGTTCATTTGGACAACTGATTTTGCCTTGCTTTAAATTGTACATCTCGGCATATAATTTTAAATGAAACTCACTATAGGTTGTATCCAATGCTAGCCGTGCTCAGAGTAGACCCCCTGAAGTTAATGAATGTACTCTGAGTAGAACTTAGCTGGTTACAACCATGTATATGTGTGTGTGTGTGTACACACACACACCCCTTCTACATGTGTAACATTCGTCAGCAGTGCCACAGGTTCCACAACCCTGGCTTAGGGAAAGACTGCTGCTCACTGGCACAACACAGAAGGTACCTCGCTCGGTTCCCAGAATCTGTAATTGCAAAAGAATCCTGCACCCAGGACTGCTGTTGTTCCAAATATATCACAGCTCACTCTACTCGAGGCAGAAGATTCAGCTCTCCCCTTCTACAGCCTTCCTGCTTCAGAAGACAACTCTCCCATCACCTCAGACTGTAGAGAGGACTGCCTGTAGCTTCCCTTGCTCCACAGCCAAGCAGGAGTAAACGAATGCAGTATCACTGTAGCGATCACAAATCACTCTCCCAAGGTGGAAGCCACGCTGGAGAGCCAAGTCTTTTCCCAAGCAAACTCCAGCCCTTTGCTGAGACAACATCTTTCTCTGCTCAGCTAGCAGAAGGCACTCGGAGCTATCCATGGTGCTGGCCGCTGCTTACTGGAATCTGATTTCACTAAGCCAGTAGCAATCCAGCTTGCCCCAGCCTCACTCAACCTATCTGGCAATACTTCCAGCCTACCTGACGTTGACCTGACCTACTTGGCTGCACCTGAGTGACTTCAACCTGAAGCTTCCCAACTCAGCTCACCTCTTCTCTTGTGGACCCACAAGTCCAAACAAAACAGGCTAGGTATTAGGTGATAAAGAAGGGGGAAAACACTCACTTGTGACCATTTAAAGTCACTGATTGTTTGCATACCCTAGGTTCCTTTTGGAAGGAAGGGTGAGATAGAAATGTAATTGCAAATAAATAAACCTCTAGGAGAAAGGGGCATCTTCAGCTGTGATTCCTGAATACCAGGGGTTTGGACTACGTGACTCTTAAGGATCCCTTCCAATTTTATTATTCTGGATCAGAATGAATTGCTTCCAGCTTTCCTAGAGGTTTTCTATTCTATAAATTTACTTCTGGGCATTCACACACTTTCTCTCTGGGATCACGTGAATATGTGCACAGAAATACAATCCCATCGGTACAGCAGAGTTATTTCTGCAAAAGCCAGCCATCCTACAGACACACACAGAGAGGCACATGTGCACACAGGCTTTTCCACATGCCTGCTTGTTCAGCCACATGGACCAAGCAGGGATGACATAATCCATTGTGCTTTTGTTTCTTTCCCTTGAGGAATGATCAATCACACACACACACACACACACATCCTATCCACATGCCTCGCTCAGTCCCGTTATCTGAAAAAAGAGCTCCTTGCAGACCAATCTGGTGAAACACTCCATCTAGCTTGGTGCTGTCTGAGCGTTTTCATCACACCTTTTAAAAATAAAAAGCGCTCTTCCACCTCCCCCACCCATTTGCATCACCTTTGCAGCACAAAAATCAACGCCCACATCAGCGAGAATGTGTTTGGTGTAAACGTGTGATCGGAAAACAGAGAGAACCTGTTCTTGTTTTTAAAAAACTCCAACCAATCACACATTTGTCGTCGTGGGAGAGAGCCCACCTCCCTGCATCCCCCCAAGGCTGTAGCCAGAGACATTTTGTATGAAATGCTACTCATCCAATTGAAGAAAGAAACAAAATCTTGCAAAAATTAAGGATACTTAAGAATCTCTCCCACCAACTCACAGCACGCGAAGCCACCTTATGCCGAATCAGAATACTGGTTTGGTCCTGCTTACAAACTTACACTCTCTGAGGTCTTTCATAGACCCAATACCTTCTCCTTCACCAAACTCTTCTTCTTCTTCTTCAGTGTGCAATGATCAGAAGACAGATCTCTGTCTGAAGGAGCTTACAGTCAAAAAAAAAACCTGATGCAAGAGGGGGAAGCAGATGGGGACACCCACCCGAAATTTAATCTCCAGGTTTGTTAATCTACAGACCACTGCATCTCCCTTCCCTCCAGCTTCCCCATCTGTCAAGGGACCAGTGAGTTTTGCCTAAGGGTGGAGACAGACCTGGGTAACGGCTGGATTTTGAAAAAGATTTTCAAGTATGTTGGGGGGGGTCACCCTTGTAAGCTTCTTCTTCCCAGCAGGACAAGGTACAACCTGAAATCAGCATAGCATCTAACAGGTCCTCCTTTGTTTTGTTTTGTTTTGTTTTGCTTCTCTTCATTCCATTTACATCCCACTTCCTCCAAGGAGCAAAAGGGTGTGATACACAGCTCTCTCTTTCCTCTCCATTTTAAATTCACAACAACCCTGCGAGGTAGGCTAGGAGACCCAAAGTCAACTGGTGAGCTTCATGGCTGAGCTGGGATTTGGTCCCTGGTCTACCAGGTCCTAGGTGCTCTCACTAGTGTGGTGTAGTGGTTAAGAGCAGTGGACTCGTAATCTGGTGAACCGGGTTCGATTCCCTGCTCCTCCACATGCAGCTGCTGGGTGACCTTGGGCTAGTCACACTTCTTTGAAGTCTCTCAGCCTCACTCACCTCACAGTGTTTGTTGTGGGGGAAGAAGGGAAAAGGAGATTGTTAGCCGCTTTGAGACTCCTTAGGGTAGTGATAAAGCGGGATATCAAATCCAAACTCTTCTTCTTCACTACTACACCATACTGGTGAAGAATGCCTGCTATCTCTTTCCATGTTCCAGCTGAAGACTATGATCAAATGCAAACTCCCTGGCCTCTCTCTCTCTCTCTCACACACAGACACACGAAACACACATAGTGTTTGCCATTTAGCCTGACAAAGAATTCTGAGGAATTCAAAAAGCTTACACACTGATTTGGCACACCCGATTTTGTGCCTGTATACAGAATATGTATGTTGGGTTCACAAGCCTGGAATCTTTGCCAGTGTCAATGGCAAGGACCTTCCACATTAAGAGCAGATCCACACCACAAGTTTGAAACCTATCCAATGCACATTGAAAACATGTGACACTCCCCCCCCCAAAAAAAAAGAATAATAGGAACTGTAGTTTTCCCTTGTGGAACTACAATATCCAAGCACCTTTAACAAATGAAAGTCCCCAGGTTTCTTTGGAGGTAGTCATGCGCTTTAGCAGAAGCAAAATGGGTTATGCATTCCCTGTGTGTTGGATGTTCTTTACATATATGGTGTGGATCTGCTTTAAAGGACGGGCCATAATTCATCAGCACAGCATGTGTGCTGCATGCTGAGAGTGCCAGGCTCGATCCCCAACCTCTCCAGTTAAAAGACAGCAGGTGATGGAAAAGGCAAGTTCATTCTTCAGCACATCCTGTTAAAGGATCTCAGTCAGTGTGACACAATGGTTAGAGCGCTGGACTAGGACCTGGGAGACCAGGGTTCAAATCCCCACTCAGCTAGTTTCTCATTCTCATCCTAACCTACCTCACAGGTGAAATGGGGATGAAATGGGGAGAAGGAGAAGGATATATACCACTTTGAGCTCCTTGGTGGAGAGGTGGGATATATCAAATTAAATTAGCAGGCGATGGGGAAGGCCCTTCTCTGCTGCAGAGCTCCGGAGAGCCTCTGCCAGTCAGAGCAGGCAATACTGGATGAATAGTCTAACCTAGTATAACACGGCTCCCTATGTTTCGCATCCGAATACTGCGCATTTGCCACATCCGCTTCCAAAGCCCCAAAGGAATATTATAGCATCAAGTTACAAAAACACACACAAAGAGAGAGTCAATTGCAGCAACATCCAGATCTGTCGTTTCTGGACAATGAAAGATTTAAAAGGGTGGATCCCGAACTCAGACTATGTAGGTTCTATACAAAGCTGCAGAACTACAAACCCCAACTTGGTTTTGTTACATAACTAAGGGCCCGCCGATACCCAGGTTAATGTGGATCGTGAGCCCCGTTAATTCGCCCCCGTTATCTTTCCACTGCTGCTGTCCCACGCTCTCTAAGTCCATAGTTCCCCTATGCTCTGAAAATCCGAATAGGAGAGCTACATCAGTTGCACAGGGAGGCTCCAGATTTAGGGAGAAGAAAGTGTGGGGCGGCAGCAGCAGTCGAGAGGAGAACGCGGAGTGGACGAGGAGGGATTAAAGGAGGCTCAGGGGTTCGCCATCCCCATTAAGCCGAGCTATGGAAGGGTCCTAAAAGCTGAAGGTGTTGCCAACCCCCTCCCCTCCTCCTTTTACAGCCCTCCGGCGCCCTAACCCTCGCAACAAAGGGAAGGGCATGCAGTCGCATCCCGAAGCCCGGCTGCATCTCTGGAGTTCCGGAGAAACATTCCCTTACCAGAAGGTACTCAAGTCTGCCGAAAATCTTCATGACCCCGTCGTTTTGGCTGTGCGCACAAATCTCTTTTCGGGACACTCTCCAGAGTGGCAGTATTGTACGGCACACCTCGAGATCGGAGAGATGCTCTGCCCCCCTCACTGCCAACACACACACACACACACACACACACACACACACTGCTTTTTTAACCCCTCCCACTCCCGTTTCGCTCTGCTAGGGCCCGGACCGCAGGGTTCTCTGTCTCCA